TACACAGCAAAAACAGCACCTCTGGATAATTTAGGATAAACGTCCTCATATGTTTGGCATGTTACTGAATAAACATCGATACCAGGAACTTGAGCATATTTTATTTGCTGTAGAGCGTCTTCATCAGTACAATTAGCAGGGAGGCAAATGGCCCACCTTGAATGGGCTATTGCTCGATTTTGACCTTCAATATGTGTTATAGAATATTTTAAATATAACTGAAACAAAATAAAAATTATATAAATAATACTATTACTCATGAACCAAATTTGGAAGTGGAATGGGTTACTATAACCAAAAAAATTGAAAGCATGTATCAATGTAAGCAAGACGTAACTTTATATAAACTACGAATAAAAGGGCTAAACAAAAAGTCTGTCAATCACAAGATCTTCAATTGGATTTTTTTAAAAATGTTTAAAGCTTGCAAGCACTTTCTAACTTATATGTTAGATATCTAATTATAATATTTAACAATTATTGTTTTGCCAACATTTTAGTTTCGAAAAATGCAAACTATTTCAGGCTTAGATAATCGACCAACTAAATTATAAATGCTTTTTCTTATTTATAACTCATAAGAAATTTTAATGCAATTGACATAAAAAACGATTTGTCTAATGTCCAAAAAATAAACAATGTTTTGTTTACAAAGCCATTTTGATGTTATGATATTTTATCATTACAACCTATTTTTAGACTCCTAAATTTTGTGCCAAAACTATTGGGATATACGTTAAGTTAGAATACTATCAATGTCAATACATTATTCGATAACTTGTATGCAAAATTATAGAATTCACAGTGTGTAGGTACACGCTTACTTGTACGCAATTCAAAAAGTTATATACACGCGAAACGTCTTGATAGAGTAGGTGAGCTGTGTGCAGGCCGTTGGTGTTTGTGCCGATCGGCGTAGCTAGGTATGGATTGAAATTTTTTGGTTTTCTTGTTGTCACGGCATTATTATTATTTGTACATGTATGTGAAATTTGCTTCAAAGGTTTATAAAATACTACTGCTAGTCACGGCGTAAATGAAAACAAACAAGACGCATTTACACAAACACCTCCCACCACAGCAATATGACGTTTCGCGTGTATATAATTTTTTGATTTCTGTACACTTTAGCGTGTACCTAGCAACAGTGTATAGAATTTGCACAAAATTTTTGAGACTAAATTATTTTACATTAGGTGCTCAAAAGACCACGTATTTTTCTTATGCCGTCAAAATTTCTGAATTTTTAATGTTTTAAATTACTTTATTTTCCCATCAAAAGTGTCCATGGACCCAATCCTAGTATTTTATGACTAGATTTTGTTATACAGGGTGTTGAAACTAGAAATCCCTAATTCTTGAAAATGGACACCAAAAATCACTCTTAACTATTTTTGGAAGTTATTTGCTCATTCTGTGTAGTCAATAAACAAACTTAACTACTGTATTCAAAATATTGTCACTTTTACATGGTGATTCATGATTCCGCAGATCTTTTTCAGTCAAAGTAGGTATTTTAAATTGCCAAAATAGCTGAAATGACAAAAAAAAAATACCACCGTCAAAGTCTTTTAATATTTGATATTTTTATAGTTCTCAATGTACTCGTTCAAAATTATTATTGGTAAAATTGGATCCTATGACTAGTTTTCCAAATATAACTTAATATGTACCTAATATATGAATTGGACACTGTATTGGATTAGGAATGTACCGCCTTGTGCTATTTGGAGGAAGACAAAAAGTTTCAAACTTACAGGGTGATTACATTTAAATATTGAACAAGACCGTAATGTAGGGAGTGGGTTCTCAGGAATAAAATGAGTGAATTTGAATTGGACACTCTAATAGTTCATCCTCAGAACGGAGAATGACAACAGAACCACAATAATTTAAATATAATAATTAAAAAGACTATCTGTTTGCACTAAGCGGGTGGGTGGCCGACTGTCTTACCAGATACAACCCAGCTAGACGTGTAAATCAATGTATTTTTTTTGTTGTTCGGTAAAAGTTGTTTGGGCGATTGTACTCGTAACCAGTATATGATTGCGCACTAGTCAATTTTCTTCTTTTCTTAACGGTTCTTACTGCTGTGTGTATTCAGTCATAAATAGCGGGAAAATTTAAAAAAATATAGGGCGGGAAATTCAAACATGGATTCAGAAATAAATAGTTTTTCTATACAAATTTACAGGACGAACAAAAATTATTGTTTTATTATATATTAAAAAATGTATAAGCTTTCAATAACATTGTAGGTTGTGGAGTTAGACGCCTAAAAATATAAAAATATATTTATTTGATTTTAAAAAATAAAATAATACATATGAGGAACGTCTGTTTAGTTCTATCTTCGTCAATCTTTTCTATCTATTTCCTCCTGTTCTTTTGTTCTTCCCCGTCTCTATATCAACGGTCGTCAAGGCTCTACGAATCAGGATGCACCTCAAAGATCATCGACCCGATATACCTGCCTGAGGCTTAACATAATTATGACGTCACTTTCTATTCTCAAATACAAACGACCTAAAAGTTTTAAACTAAAATAAATAAGAGTTGTTTGGTTGAATCGTTAATAAACAAGTTTTTATTTATTTAGCCCTACATATGTTTCGGATAGTACAATTTTTTATTTTCTGGTGCAGTCAATATTAATTTGATCCTCGTTCAAAAACATATTTTATTTCTATAAAAGAAATTTATAACGTCTATTACTGTTTTTTTAGCAAATTTTTATTTTAATAATATAATTTTTAAATCTTAAGGAAAGAGACATGGTCCCCATGGCTCTCTCCCTAAAGCCACTTTTGGTAAGTTGAAGTTTTCTGCATATTTGAGAAGTAATCAAACATTTTCTTTTTGTATCTTTTTTATAAATATATGTAAGTAGGTACGTATAATTTAGTCTTTTCGCTTTTAAATGATTTCCAATTCTGTTAAATAAAAATGAATTAGAAGCCTCTAGTCAAAGAAGGTACTTTGTTGAAAAGTGTAGCCTTTTTAAAAATAGGTAATGTCCAATTTTAACACGCTGTATATTAAAAACTAGTCAAAATATGGAATTGACTCAATGGACGCCTTTGTTTAAAAGTTTTAAAAATTAAATCCAGTACCATTTCTCCATAAAGAAAATGGGAAGACTTTGCAAGGGCTAGCCCCTGCTGGCGGCGCTCATGGAAGAAACATGTGTTGATATTTTCGTTAATTCATAAAAATAGCTATTAGTATCTGTGGCGCCCGTCACAGAGATGTAGTTTCATGCCTGTGTCGTTGAGAATGTTCATACCAGAGTGCGCACAAGACCGAACCTCAAGTCGGTCATTGTTACTTAAAAAATACTGTGATGTACGCTTTACCCTTTTTCACCCTGCGTCGTGAAAAGTTCTGTTTTGTTTTTATAACAGTTGTTATTTAACTTTTTTTAATGTCAATAAAATGTCATACAGTCCATTTGAAAGCTAAATTTGTAAAAGACGAGTTTTCTTTACAACATATACATATACCAAATTTATACATCATTAATATTGTGCCATAATTAAAAGAAAGAAAGGACATTACATGCTTCCATTAAAAAAGTTACACCACCATTTAATAATACAAAAACTAAATAAGTAGTTTCGATAAAAACATTGGCCCAAAGTTTGAATTCTGGTACATAAAATTATTTAAATATGGCCCAAAGTTAGGTAGATATACTACTTGTTGGCGAACCCGTAAAATAAAAATAATTTGGACTATAAAATCTTGCAACCAAGTAAGCATTTTCTGAGAATAATTGAACATTTAAATTATTACACAGAAGCGCATCTAATCGCCATCTATCGCCAACTTAGTTAATGAATACTTTTGATTATGAATATTATGGCGTGCAAATTCTGTCTTAATGGATCCTCAGTATGAAGTGGTCAATGAGCAGACAAATCTGAGAAATTATTCACTTCTTAACTGTCTTGAAATCTATTGAGTTCTAGTTAGGTACACGATGAAGTATAAATATGCAACGAAATCCTTCTACACAAACATTTGGAGTATTATATTTCACCCATGGTATCATTTCATTAACATGGTTTTGTAAAAGGTCGATCTACTGTAACAAACCTCGTTAGATGCAAACACACCATATCGCAGAAAATATGGACAATCGACTGCAAACTGATGTTGTGTATGCAGACTTTTCAAAGGCGTTTGACAGACTTGATCATGGGATGCTTATAAACAAACTTTTCGGTTATGGGTTGTCAGAGACTGTCAAAAAACTGTTCCGTTCATATTTGCAAAATCGTCAACAGTCAACAGTTTTAAGTCTGTAGAACGTTTGGGGTGCCTCAAGGATCTGTCCTTGGGGGCGCAACCGAGTTTGGCCAACTACCTGTTATAATCCCTGGTAACCGCTTGGCTATTTTAATCCATTAAACTCATTAAAGGGCTATGTTGAGTTAGGCTAGAAAATAAAAATTCTTATTTGTAAACAATGTTTTTTTCATATAGGTCCAAATACATAATAAAGTACAGGTTATATTATACTATTTGGTGCATATTTAAAAGCAATGCATTGAACAAAATTAAATCTAGTTAACTCATTACATTCCAATTGGCGGAGTTTTTCCGATAAATATAATTTTCTTTTTTCGATGTGAGGCCGTAGTTTTTTTACATACTTGTTAGCGCTTACAATTTTTACATGTTTCTGTTTGAAAGTTAAGTAAAATTTCCACAAACTGAAAAATATTCGGATGACAAGAATAAAAATGGCTATTAAATAATGAATGAAATGACTCAAAAGAATTTGTGGTACGTGTCATCGAATCTGAGGCTGAAGCCCATACAAACGGCGAAAATGTAGCATTTGCCCCAATATCTACTAAATAGTCGCAAAATTCAATAACTTTTTGGTTACCTACTACGAAATCATTGTGTTCAAACAAATCAAATGCAAAACAGTCACCAACTTCTTCTGGTTTTAGAAATGGAAGACCAAAGAAATATTTCAAATATTTTCCTACATGATTTTCTGAACGGTAATCAGCGCTTAATCCTAAATATTGAATTTTTCGATACCAGGATTGGGATAAATGAAAGCGACAGCCTATTATTTTTATGTTTTGCCACATAACTTTAACTGCATTATGAATCGCTAACTCAAAATCAATTACAACAAATGAAGACTTAATGTTTCACATTTTGCATCCAATAACTCAAATAATATAAGATACACAGATTGTGATTTTGAGGGCAATAAGCAAAAAACTAAAGGTAGGGGAGGGTGGGGCAAGTGAGACACCTTAAGGTTAAACAATTAATAACTTTTATACTTGTAGAAATGAAACAACGTGTATTGAATAGAAATAAACTTTAATTCTTTAGGTCATAACCTAACCTTGAAAAATGGTGAAAATTTAAAGTTTTAATTAAAGGTCAGACATAGGAAAAAAATTGTCGAATGATTCACTTGCCCCACAACTTGGGGCAAGTGAGTCTTTGTACTAATTATCATCGGCAGTTGTCACAAACATAGTTATTAGCACCCGGTTCGTTATCTGAACACTCCTCATGCATCCAGGCACCACATTTTATGCACATAATCCATTCGTCGTGACAAGTGTCTCCATATGTCTCATGACAGTAAACGCATATTGTGGCTTTCTCTTCCTCTGACATTGCTGCTGATGCTTTTGCCGATGCACCTTTTTTCTTTTCTCTCAAGTTTTCTTTTTTTTTCACATTTTCAAGACACCAACTTGGCCCTGCTTTGTTAAAATTATTTTTGACTGATTTAGCTTTTACTGTTTTTAATTTATCTTTCAATTTCTCTTCGAGTTGATCTTTGTAAGGTAAGCTGGTGATTATTTTGGATCCTTCTGTGGTTCTGAATTTTGCTTTGATTTTTCTTTTCTCTTGACAGTGTTTTGGTATTGGACTTAATTCTGAGATAGAGACATAACTGCATGATGGTTGATCTGATTCTAAAATTGTTTTGGAGTTGCTTTGCCTTTGAGATGGTTTCAAGATTAGGCTTGAATTTGAAATAGAAACAGAACTGCATGACGGTTGATCTGGTTCTAAAAGTGCTTTGGAGTTGCTTTTCCCTTGAGATGGTTTCGAGATTAGGCTTGAATTTTAAATAGAAACAGAACTGCAAGACGGTTGTTCTGTTGCCTCCAAAACTGGTAGTATGTTAGGATCATTCTGAATGTCATCTTCAGGCGATTCTGGATTAGGTACATCTTCCAAGTTTACGGAATTAACCAAGGGATTGACGCTTTCTGGATTTGATTTTTTTGAAGAATGTTCTTGGCCGCCTCAAAGTCGCTCTCTTGGAACACATCCGGGTCATAAGGAAATATTCCTCTTTTTTCAAAACGCTTCATAATATTTATTAGTGTAAATGCTTTAATAAGGGCGTTTTTTATAATAGGAGCCATGTCATATTCGGTGATTCTAGAGCCAGGATGATTTGTCAGCCAGTGGTCTATTTTTCTTGCTAGGTAGGTTTTGAAGGGCTCAAATACGCTTACATCAAGAGGCTGTAGCCTACTCAAAGTATGAGGTGGTAACGTCAAAACAGAAACTCTAGAATTTCTAGCCAGGGTTATTGATTCAATGGACTTGTGACTTGAATGACCGTCTAGTATCAGTAGGCTCGGAGACTCTTTGGTTGTTTGTGTAGAGTCTATAAAATGTTTTAAAAATTTAACAAATAGGTCGGCATCCATCCATCCGGATTGAGCAGGAAATCCTACTGTTCCAGGAAATGCACCATTTAACAAGGTTGGGTTCATTCTTACACGAGGGAAGACCATAAATGGTGGAATGAATGTGCCCGTAGCACTAACACATGCTAGTAATGTAGTATTTTTTCCTCTTTCCAATTAAGTTAATCTTCCCCTTGCTTTCTTCCCTTTTCCGCTACTATTTTTCCTGGTTTTTGAACGCAGGTAATCCCTGCCTCATCACAGTTAAATATGCGATACGGAGGGAAATTGTACTTGTCCAAGAGCTCTTTTACATTTTTAAAAAGCTCATTGACACTGTGCTTGGAAAATTCTGTCACTCTAGCAATGCTTGTTGCTTTAGGTCTTCTAATAGAGAGGTTTTTTTGACGCTTTAAAAATGATATCAGCCAGTCTTTTCCTGTCAGCTTCCGATCTTTATTGAACGGATGATTGATTTGGTTAACTTCAGCAAACTGAAATGCAATCCGTCGAAGATCTGCCGTTGAGAGTCCGTAGAATAGCTTCTCTAAGGTTTTCTGTTCACTCAAATCCATTTCCATTTTTTCACTGAACACGGGTTTGAATCTGCCTAGGTTTAGAACCAGATTCTGCCCCTATCGCTTCAATCGTGAGTGCATGCTGGTTCTCGGAACGTTAGAAACCACATTAGCTTTCTTGATTGACAGGCCCTGCAATGCTTTCCTTTTAATGCCATTCCCAAGGGCCTGTCGTTAAAGAGTGTCGTCTTCCTCATGGTTGTGATTGACATCACTTTTCTCGTCTACTATTTGGTCACGAATGATATACACCATTGCTGAACACTTGTTTTTTAATACATCGCCATCGCACTTCACCATTAGTAAGAGTATTTGCCTCACAAAATTTGAAATTGTCTATAACTATAACTTTTTCCCCTTTTCGCTAAAAATATATTTGACTTCCATACTCGGTGACAATTAAAGACAGAATAAAATAGTACTTCTATTTTTCTTACATCCGTATTATATCTACACATCATTCTTCTAATTACTTATTAATACTCCTAATTAATAATTGACAAGGGATTAAAGAAGGTCGCTGGCCTAACTCAACTACCTAGATTACGCCACCTGCAGCGCTGGCCTAACTCAGCTTCTCCGGTCCTTGGCCCTTTGCTTTTTAATAACGACATCGTAGAGTGCATTGATGTAAATTGTCTTTTATATGCGGATGATTTGAAAATTTTCAGTTCAATTTCTTCCAATGCTGACTGTGAACGTATGCATAATAACATAAATGCAGTGTCGCTTAAACCTTTTCCCTTTAAATGCATCAACATATTTTATAATGTCATTTTCATTAAACCCGGATATTATTTTATTTAACTACGAGATAAACAAATCATCTCTACAAAGACCTGAACATTTTGTCGATCTTGGTGTAACTTTTGATCCAATGCTCGTATTTATATTACACATTGAAAAAATTGTATTTGCCGCAAAAATGTATGGGTTTTTTGTTACGTATTAGTAGGGAACCTGTATTGCTGAATTCTTCATTCGTTCGGTCTAAACTGGAGTATGCTTCCATAATTTGGAACCCCCATTACCAAACTCATCGGGACGAGTTAGAATCAGTGCAGCGGCGATTCTTAAAATTCATTTGCTTCAAACGAAGTTGCCATTATCCGGAAGTAGGTACACCTCCTCAATATCTGCTTAGCAGACATAACTTTATTGATCTTAAGACAAGGCGAAATTGTCATTTAATCATTTTCATACACACATTAGTACATAACAAAATTCATTGCGATTAATTATTAGAAAAACTGGCTTTTAACGTTCCGAGAACTACTACACGGTCGCAGTCTACTTTATATCTCCCATCAGCAAGAACTAGTGTCTTAAAATCATCACCACTGTACGTGTACATTATGTAACTTAATCAGTAATACCATAGATATAATTAATTGTAGTGTATATAGCATTAGGTCTGTATAGTGTTTACCTATTCTTATGTTTTCGTAATTATTTTTGTCAGAATTTCCTGCTCTGTAATTGGAATTGCCTGTTGAGCAATGTACCAATAAATACAAAATAAATAAATAATTGTCATATCTACTTATTGGTACTCATTCAAATAAGAAATAGTTTTTTTATGTTATGGCTCACAATCTGATTTAAATATTTAATATAAAGAGGCACTTATGGCAACAAATTTCACATTTGCTGATGATTTTTTCATCTTACATATTCAACCGCGTTCACCCTGTAAATACAACATTTTTTGTCCACCTCCAACACAGTGTGTCAAAATATTTAATATACTGCATTTCTCTTAAACATATCTACTTATGTCAGTATTGTTTAAAATTCATATATTAGATATTAAGTTATTTTTTTGGAAAACTAGTCATATGATCCAATTTTGCCAATAAGAGAACTTTTCAGTATCAAATATTAAGAAACTTTGAAGATGGTATTTTTTTTTTGGTATTTCAGCTATTTTTTGTTCGGTGGAAATACCTACTTTGACCTAAAAAGATCTGCTAAATCATGAATCACCCTATGAGTGACAGTATTTTAAATATAGTGGTTAAGTATGTATTTTGAATAGTGGTTAAGTATGTATTTTGACTATACATAATAAGCAATTAACTTCCAAACATATTTAAGAATGATTTTTGGTGTCCATATTCATAAATTAGGGATTTCTAACTTCAACACCTTATATCTCAAAATCTAGCCATAGTATAAGATTGGACTAATAAACACTTTTGATGGAGATTGACCGCGCTCCCGTTTGCATAAGAAAAGTGTTTGGTCCTTTGGTAGACAGTTTCTATATAACGTTATCGTACGATGGATTTTGGTTTATAACAATTTTAACTTTATATTTTGATAAGAGCTACTTACGTCCTTTTCAAATCCAATAGATGCATTTTTATCTTTAAGGATGAGATCTCCCAAACAATATTTACCCATAATTTTGTCATTTCTGGATTCTATTTCAATACATTCTTGAAAATTACCCAAATCATCGACATTATACGATATCAGAGTTTGGGGTAGTTTAGATGTTGCGTCCAACACTAATAAAAATGGTTTTGGTTAATAAATAAATCAGTATTTTATAACAAAATAATAACTAGATGATCAAACCCGGTTAGCCAGACATAATCGATTTTCGGACAAATTTTAATAAAATCCTTTAAAATAAGAAATTTCCATCACTTTTGCGCTTATATGATTAATTTATGCTTTCTAGTTAGTTTTCTTAAGTTTTCTATGGGAACTGTGCCTATAAATTACATTTTTAACCGACTTCATAACCGGAGGAGGGTCTCAATTTGTCGGAATATTTTAAAGTATAAATATCGTACTTAATTAAAAATTTTTAACCTTTGAAATTAAGTGTCCGGATAACTGGTTCCATAAAATTTATTTGAAGACAGAGGGGAAAAACAAACATAATTGAACCACCCGCCACTAGATGAAAAAATTCTTAATAGGAATGAACTGAGCAATTCCTTAAAAAGGAAAGCTTCAGAAGATTTAAGTGAGATACCTTTAACATTCATTCACCGAGAACTGAGGAAAAGAGATGTCAAAACATCGTATAATTGCGACAAAAATATATATTTTAATGCTGTCAGTTTACTAAATGCAACATGCACTTTTTAGGTGGCAAAAAATACAACAACTTGGCCTTACTACTGCATACAAGGATAAGTATTCAGAAGCTGGCAAATATTTGAGAAACTGTTTTGGTTTGACGTTTCTTAATTCAACAGACGTTAAAGAGTATTGATTTAATTGCTTCTCAACCTAGCAATTCCAAACTTAATTTATTCGCAGATTATCTTGTAGATACTTATATAAAATACAAGTAGTGTAAAGAGAACTACAAATGCCTGCGAAAATTTTCATTCACGGTTTAATTCTGCATTTTACCATTCACATCCTCATATTTTTCAATTTATTACAGTTTTAATAGATTTTCAAAGTGATACCTACATAAAGATTAGGATAGCGCAATAAAATGAAAAGAAAAGATACTCTATAAAAACTATAGAAAACAAACTCGGAACATATTAAGGTAGTTGGAAAGAGGCTCTAAATATAGTAACAAAATGGACAGAGACGGAAGGACTAAACATTAGCCCAAACAAATCTGACATAATTGCATTCACCCGCAGGAGGAAATTGGAGAAACTAAAGCCTCTAAACCTAAGAGGTGCAAGCATATAGCTTAAGGGGGAGGTAAAATATCTTGGGGTTATGATTGACTCGAGACTTACTTGGAAAAAACCACAAGGAGAGCGGAATCCTCGTTAATGATGGTAAGGCGATCCTTTGGAAAAAAAGGGGGTTAAAACCAGACATGGTATATTGGCTTTATAACATGGTGGTGAGACCGATAATAACATACGCAGCTTTGGTGTGGTGGCCAAAGACACAGCAAAGGAAAACAATAACGAGGCTAAGCAAGGTACAAAGACTTGCCTGCCTCGGAATAACGGGCGCAATGAAAACAACCCCCACAGTTGCAATGAAAGCACTAATAGGACTCCAACATCTTAACTATGTGATATAAGAGGAGGCAAGATTAGGTGCTTACAGATTAGGGAATACACTGGGAAATCTTGACATTAGGCCAGGGCTCTTGAGTATCTCAAGGTTAGTGACAGGAGAGGTGCTAGATATGAGATCAGACCAAATAACCAAGAGGTACTCTTTTAATACTCCATTTGAGGTTTTAATGCAGGAAAGAGCGGAGATCACCATGAGGGAGCCCAATGCTTAACGACAGGAACAAACCTGGTATACAGACGGGACTAAGACTGTGGAAGGCACTGGGGCAGGAGTATTCTCCAAAAACCCTGATACTAACCATATCTATGCTATAGGAATACATTCCTCGGTATTTCAGCCCGAGGTATACGCAATTTTGCAATGTGCAAAAACGAACAAATAAAAGAGCTGTCGAAAATCAGCATATTCAAATAATGTCAGACAGCCAAGCGACACTTAAGGCCATATCGAGTCAGAAATTTACGTCGAGGCTGGTATGGAAATGCATCGAAGAACAAAGAACACTGGCAGACCGAAATAGAGTAAAACAATTTGGGTGCTAGGTCACCAAGGGATTGAAGGCAACGAAAAGGCTGACGAACTTGCAAAAAGAGGGTCAGAAGAAACACCGGAACCAGACACAAAACTACCATTTAAAATAAGAAGAATAATTATCAAAGAATTGAAATGCCAGATTTTTCCAAGGCCATCTCTAGAAACATTTTTGGGGATCACTCTTTATTAATAAGTGTTAATTATTTTGGTTCAGAAAACTATTCTCGAATAAATAGGGACATCATTCACTCATTATTTAATAACTCATTATCAATTCACTTATTATTAATTAACTTATGATTAATTCACTGATTATTAAATCAGTAGTAACTAATTCACTCTTTTTATAATAAAAAATAAACATTACTTTTGAATGCCCAATTATCTTCACTTCTGACGGAATGAAGTCTTTTTATAAAGAGTTTCATACTGTTCTTGCAATCTTTGGAAGTACCAATTTTGTCCAAATCATATTCCAATATTTCTTTTAAGGAACGGCTTTCAAAATGGCTACATCCTATCTGGAAAAAGCTAGCCGCAAGCAGAATGACGAAAATATTGTTCATATTTTTAAATTACTACTTTAGAGTAAAATAAGTGAGTAATTTCAAATAATGTTTGGAGTTAGTACGCCGTTGAAAAACTTTTCTGCATTTTTAAAGTTTTTGTAAGTTTTCTGAAACAAAGGGTTGATCAGTGAGAGTAGGTTTGTAATAAAAGCGGATAAATCCTTTTCTTTCAAAGCTCTTTCTATTGTAAAATGATCTATTTTCTTGATATCGGTTATATTCCGTTATACAATGGTATAAAATTAGCAAGTACTTCTGTGAGAAAAATATCTAGAAAAAGGTTTTTTTGTAGATCTGGTGGTAGCTAAATTACAATTTTCCCATATTAATTATGATTTTTTTTGTATTTTATAATTAAAGCATAGTGAAAAATGCGTCGGTAAGATACGAAAACTATGAAAAGGTAAATAAAAATTTATAAACCTCTAAATGTGAAAACAAAAATAGATTATGAAAATGCTGAAAAATTAAATGGTACATAATTATAATGGGTATACCTATTAAAAAACGACTAAATCCTTGTTGGAAGTAAATAGATATTTTAAAATTTTTCATAACAGTTTATTCCTCAGATAAACGAATAATGAAATATAGAAAAGTAACGAGTACCGTTTAACACAGACTTTGTTTAAAGCAGTTTAATGCCCGTATATACGAACGTGTGATTGTTTGACATGGGCACAGTTTTTTTTAACAAAATTCAGAGGATTATTTTTTAAATAGTTTGTCCAAGGCAAATTTAAAGAAAAATTAATTTCAAAAATATATTTTGCTATTTTTATTCAAATGTAATATACTATATTTATAGAAAAAACATAAGTTAAGTAATGCAAGTTATCTGTTTTGAAAATTCAAAACTCAAAATCTTACACAACTCAACTGAATTATCCTCAACTTAAAATGAAAACGCAGGTGTTAAACCATAATGCTAAAAGCAAAAATTTTCCAAATTATAATTGAGGAAGAAATAAGCTATACAAATTTTAATACTTGTAAAAATTTACATTGACGGTAATTGAAATTAGTTGGGTATTAATAAATTAGGCAATATTGAGATATTGTATAGGTAAAAGAAATCTTTTCATCTGATTGCAAGATATTATCACAAACTAAATTTGAGAAAAAGGTAGTAATGTTTCAATATACTTCCGCAACAAGATATCAAATATACTCCCAAGAATTTAAAACATTTGTTGGAAATGAGAAAAATAGTTAGTGTTTTAGATATAAGTATTATATATAGTTGCTATGTAAAACATAATTTATTATTATTGATTGACGATATAATTTTTGAGTGTGTCAGAATTATTTTAAATAAAGTCATTTTGAGAACTTCTCCATTTTTAATACAGAAGAGTAAACCAGGTAGGTCTTACTCATTCTGAACATTGTGGCGACCGTGACAGGACGAACCAGTTCCTTTTTCGACATGGAGAAAATTCAGCGACTTTTAAATATTCAACGAACGGCCTTTACTGAAGCTTATGAAGTTATAGCTGGTGATTTAAAACTTCCTGAACCCGATATTACCGCTATTAAAGGTCGTATTTAAGTTTTGGATAACAAGGTCGAAGATATCAATCTTCTTAGTAAGCAGCTGATTAATTTTTTATTAGATAAAAGCGAATCTGTTGAATCAGATCTAATAAATGAAATAAAGAAATCTGATGATTTAATCAACTAAAGTTTAGCTTTGAAGAATTTTGTATTAAAAAAATTCTTCACAGAGCGTTTGTGGTAGTCATTTAAGCCACTCTAGTAATTGTTTGAAATCTAAATTGAAGCTCCCACGTATAGAATTTACAAAATATGGTGGAGACTTGAAAGGGTGGATTCCATTTTGAAGCCAGTTCAAGAGGATTCACGATGATTCAAGTATTGAAGCCGAAGATAAATTTCAATACCTGCTTCAAGCTACAACACCGAAATCCCGAGCTCGCCAACTAATTGAAAGCTATCCGCCCAGTGCAGGAAACTATGGCAAAGTTATTAATAATTTAAAAACAAGATTTGGAAATGAAGAACTATTGATTGAATTTTATGTTCGTGAATTGTTAAAATTATTTCTAAACAATTTAAAGACTAAAACTAATCTTGTCACTCTTTATAATTGCCTTGAATGCCAGTTTCAGTCCTTGGCGTAACCTCTGATAAATATGCTTCGATGTTATTCCCTTTGGTTGAGTCATGTCTTTCCGAAGATCTCCTAAGAGTGTGGCAAAGAAGCCAGGGTAATTCAAAATTTAATTCATCTTCAAGCAGTTACAAATATACAAATTTGCGATTAACCAAACTAATGGGTTTTTTGAAAAAAGAGGTCGAAGGTGAAGGAAAAATTAGCCTAGCTACATCTTGTTTCGATATGAATTCTAAGAAACCTGAAATAAGACAATATATTTCTGTTTCCACGGCTTCTGAACTCATTAATTGTCAGAAATATTTAAAATGTGTTTTTTTGTAAAGGCAACCATAAGAATGAAGATTGCACTGAGGCTAAGCAAATTAATTTAATAGAGAAGAAAAAGATTTTGTCGTCTACAGGATGCTGCCATTTATGTTTAAAGTACGGACACATAGCACGTAAATGCCGAGTAAGATTGCATTGTTTACATTGTAAACAGAGCCATGCCACTTTGATGTGCCCAAAACAATCCAAAAATGAAGAAACGGTGGTCAGTAGTTCTATTATAAACGAAAATGTAGAATCCCTGTCAAATAATACGTATCACCAGATATTTTTACAAACCCTTTTGGTGGAATTGAATAATGAAACCCATTCAAGATAGATGAGATGGTTTCCAGCGTTCATATATCAATAAGTTTGTTGCTTCTGAAATGAAACTACAGTCACTTGGAAAAGAGACTAATACATGCACTTTTTGGTGGTCAGTCTGAAGTCATCACTCATACTGTATATAAGATTAGATTAGATAGTATAGATAAGAAATATGCATGTAACTTCCAATTTTTAGATCAACCCACAATTTGTACGAATATCAGTTCTATCTCTAAAGGTTCCTGGATTTCTGAGTTATCAGATTTAGGAATAGAAATATTTGATATCAAAGATGCTCCAATTGATGTGTTAATAGGTGCCGATATTGCTGGTAAACTCTTTATTGGTAAAAAATACAATTCACCTAGTGGTTTGGTAGCTATGGAGACCCAACTAGGATGGACTCTTCTTGGAAAGGTTTCCAATGTCTATTTAAATACCTTCAGCAAAAGTTTGAACATGATAACATCTCCTTTGTAAAAATGACCAGATAACAAATTTATGGAGTCTTGAAATTCTTGAAATATCCGATTCTGGTAATAATAAATCCAAGAAAGAATTAGAACTGGTTATGATGCAACATTTCCATAACACAGTTCATATCGCTGACGGAAGATACGAGGTTGCTTTACCTTGGTTAGAAGGCCATCCACCAATTCCACCAAACGACGTCTAGGCAACTTAATGGTAAAGTTGAAGAAGGATGGATACTATGACGAGTACAACAATGTTTTCTCGGAATGGTTAGTGAAGGCGTCATCGAATTTGTACCCTGAGGTGAAGAAATTAAGGAAACCGTCCATTATTTACCTCACCGGCATGTGGTAAAACTTGATAGTACTACAACCAAACTAAGGCCAGTTTTTGATGCTTCTGCACGAGAAACAGGTTCCCCTTCTTTAAATCAGTGCATAGAAAAATGAATTAATCTTTTAGGTGTGATATCTTTTTGTTTAATAAGATTTCGACTATCTAAAATTGGGGTAATTGCTGATATAAGAAGGGCCTTTCTTCAAATTGGCATCCTAGAGGCATATCGAGACTTTCTGCGTTTCTTATGGTATGATAAAGAGAGTAATCTAATTTATTTTCGACACGCAAGAGTTGTTTTCGGGGTGACTTGTAGCCCTTTCCATCTTAATGCTGTCTTACAGTTGCATTTAAATCGTGTTTTGGTAGATTGTCTTGAGAGTAACTCTCAGTATTCTTTTTCTGTTATTGATAAACTTCGTAAAAGTTTTTATGTGGATAACTGCGTCTGCAGTGTTGACTCAGAAGAAGAGTTGAAAGAATTTATTGATCAATCAACCAAGGTTATGAATAAAGCAAAATTTAACTTACGTCTCTGGGCATACAGTGTATTCAATGATGTTGTACCTGACACGTTCGTGCCAATCTTTTGGGGTTGAAGTGGAATCGTATTGAGGATACTTTAGAAATTTGTTTTGATTGGTTCAAGACTTCTGATTTCCAAACTATTACTAAACGAACCATTCTATCCTTTGTGAACAAAGTATATGATCCTCTTGGATTTATATGTCCTGTACTTTTGTTAATAAAAATATTACTGCAGAAGATGTGGTCTCTTAAGATAGGATGGGACGCCGAAGTACCTCTTGAAATTAAAAATACATTTGTCGATTGGATTCATAGTCTTAGTTGTTTAGTTAATTTTAAAATTCCTAGATATCTTTCACATCCATTGTTGTCTACGTTAGTAATAGATTCAAAAAAGTTTTCATCTTTTCACGGATGTCAGCCAATATTCTTATGCCGCAGTAGTTTTTTTGAGGACTGAAGATAATAATGGTTCCTGCTCTATCCAGCTTATTCAAGCTAAGAGTAGACTAGCTCCAATTCGGAATAAGATGTCTATTCCACGACTGAAGTTATTAGCAGCTACCATTGGTGCCAGACTTTTATCTTCACTATTATCTGCTTTTGATGATGACATTCCGGTTTATTGTTGGTCAGATTCAAGTACAGTGAGGATTCATCGTGAGGACCAATGGAAGCCGTTTGTATGGAATAGAGTTAAAGAGATTCAGTCGTTGACTAAGAAAGAAGATTGGTATTTCATTCCTGGTCAATTGAGTACTGCCGATTTGCCCTCCAGAGGTTGTTCTTCGAAACATTTGTTGCAGTCTCGATGGTGGAAGGGTCCTTTTTGGTTACTGCAGGAAAAGCAGTTTTGGCCTAGTGAAAATTATGCCGCTGACAAATCAACAGAGGAAGAATTAAATCGTTCTACTACATCATATGTTAATGTTAAACATGACTTCTCTTGGTATTACAGATACTTCTCGGATTATCAAAATATTGTAAATTTAA